GTTCCTAAGAACAGAGCCAAAAGTCGATCCTGAAATGGCCGTTAGCGTCGACAAAGATACCGGAGAAGATAGCAGCTGGAAGTAAGGCTGAGTATTTTAACATTTCACAGTATTCCCAGCTGCTTTGGCTTATTGCTGTGCGATAAAAAGCAATTGATAGTGGATGTGAAATAAAACCAGCTCCAAGGTCAATGAGCGAAAGATTACAAAGAAGTAGGTTTGATGCAGCATAAAGACTCTTATCTCTGCGAAGCGCGACAAGGGTCAAAGTGCTTTTAAAAGTGGTACTAATGGATTGAAAACTGTAGACGGCCGTGAGGAATATTGGCAGGTTAGTTACTTGAGATATGTAGTCCCATAATCCATCGCAAAACATTGTATGGTTCTGTGATTTGTCGAGATTCACCAGTTCTTCCTAAGGAGATTAATCGACGCAAAGTTCGGTTATTTTCAGGACGTAACGCAAAGGCTTTGATGACGAGAGAAGGGATTAATTCTTAAACTTAAGCTAGGATCGATTTGTTTCAGGAGAAATTTGGGATATGTTTGATTTAAAGATGTAATTTTCGGATTCTTGATATCAGCTTCATCAGTCTCACACAGCCTCGTTTCAATTTGTTGCATTTGTAAATACCCTTAAAACAAGAGAATATTAATTCTCTTGCCTTAAAATTCACACGGTTTTCTAACATGCATATTGGATTTCAAGAGATAAAACTTTACATAACACAGATACCTACTAGGTGTGCACACTTAAAAAGTAACAATAAAAGTCCAGAGGCTTTTGTCGCAATGTATGCATCTTAGCCATTAAAAACGAAGTCCAGGATGACATGCAACATGTACCAAATACCATGTAGTCTCCATGCATCCCGGTACATGCGTGTTTTTACGAAAAAAGGGAGAAAGACAGTACGCGTTGGATCAGCTGGTACACCCAGATGATGAACTGAACCCTTTAAGCGTTAAATGAAAGATTTTTCTGCATTGGTGCTTTCCTAGTATCAACCAATGAAAACGCTTCTCTTAAACAAACTGCTGGAATGAAAGAGGTTCAAAAGTGGAAATCATATTTTCACCTGCGAATGAAATTCAAGTGAAGAAATGATTCTTACTGGCAAGAAAAGAAGCCTACAAAAATTCAGGCCTAGAAGGATGCACTTTGTTAAACTTCATACCTCCAAGAACTTCGATACGTGTAATCCCATCTCTTTATTCCAACACTTATTTGTGAGAGTATAAACAATAACACTATAAAACCAGAAAAGCGGCATCTTTAACCAGTACAATACACGTTTACATATGCAGCATTGAAATACCACACATTCTCAAAGAGACGATCATCAACGAAAATAATTATTTTTTTTTTGCCAGCGTGGTAAAAAAGTGAAAAATTTGTAACCAGTAATCGAATTCCAGACTCTGGGTTTAGCGGCTCGATGCTTTGCCACTGAGCTACAGAGGCGTCTTCTTGGCCTCATACTTGGTTCATACATATATGGCAAGCAATGCAGTGGATTGCCATGTAAACCCTCAGAGAGAAACTGAATTGCAGCATAAAGGGGAAAGTTTCTAAGAAACTGTGGTGCTGCGTCGGTGGGAGAGTGTAACACAATAATTTGGTTTGATCAACTGTAGCTGAATGAGTAATGTAAATTGGCCAACGTGAAGAGTTTCTAAGCTGACTTTCCGAGCGTTAGCCCTTCGACAGGCCTTATTAAGAAGATCTCGTTTGCCCCTAAAGAGACATATCAGTCTTAATAAGAGATGTGTTTTCTTTTTCAGATCTCGTGTACTTTTGCATTAGTGATGATATTAATGATATTAATTTTCAAGGAAATGATATCTCTATTCATTACTATTCTGCTAACAATATGCTCCTGAAATCGCTTTTTATTGGTAAAATTGTTAGAGTGACACGATATTGAAAACAATTGTTTCATCTAGTCTTGAAAAATCTCAGGTAGAATCGACATTTCATCCAGCAATTAAGAATCTTTTCAATTATCTCTTTCAATTGGTTTCCTCCGCGATAATGAAAAATATGAGGACCACTTCATTCTGTCACCGAAATTGATCACAGTTCCGAAAGCTGTGTATATGGGATCTACTTTGCTCCCGATTGCAATTGCTGCAGGCCTTCGTTGGAAACGATGACAACACGCAAAAGAGAGTCGAAACACAGGGAGAAATTACCTGCTGAACACTAGGGTCGTTGACCATCGTTAGAGCCACGATAAAGCTGAAAGAAGACAGCTTTTTTCAACGTTTTGAGTCATCATGGTGATAAAAAAAAGTCTACTTTACACGCCTCAAGTGATGCTCAACTAATGGCCGTAAAGTTATACAGAAACTTGCATTTCACCCCTCTAGGCCACAGTGTGAAACAAAGCCCAAAATTTATCATAGTGATATTAATGAAAGACAAAGGTTTATTCTGTTTTGAAAAACATCTCAATTAATCGCGAGAACTGAACATATCATTCATATCTTCGTGAATGAACAAAAATAGTCGTCTTGGTAACTAAAGATCGATGAACATGTCCGAATTACTTTTCATGAGGGGCATTTATTAACATCAATAGGGTTAAGTTGAATTTTTGTCAAGTAAGAAAGTTTCCATAGAAAGACCTTGTGTTATTGTTTCAATCGAGTGAGCCTCACTTCGCACCACAGTTTTGTTTCAGAAACTTACCTCCTTTACTCATTTGTTGTG